TTTTAACAATTTATTTCCACCTTCCTGCAGTTTGTTCTTGCTGCCCTCGTCGCCGTTGCCGCCGCTGCCCCAAGCCACTTATATGAAAGCCCAGTTGTGTACTCGGCTCCAGCAGCTGTTGCATACCAAGAACCCGTCTTGGCTAAAGTTGGCTCCGTGGTGAAGAGCATTCCCACCGCTGTCTCCCATCAAAGCCAGTCGATTGTGCATAGCTCAGCTCATGTTGTGGAAGATGTGGTGGCACCAGTTGTGAAGACCAGCTATGTCTCAGCTCCTGTCTTTAAGACTATCCACTCTGCTCCTCTGGTGCACACCTCATATGCCGCCGCTGCCCCTGTCCTCAAATCATACGCCGCAGCTCCAGTTGTGCACAGTTATGCTGCGCCTTTGGCTTACGACACTCACTACTCATCTTGGTAAACGTACGACAAAGGATAATAAAAATGGACAAAAGATTTTGTAACAGATTTTGTGATAATGATACATATTTTTAAGGAATAATTAGCTAAAACGTTGTTGACTTCGAATCAGCGATATGTTGAATAAAGTATTTAGAAAGAAACGCTCGTTTAAACTGGAACTTTTAAAGTTTTCGGGTATATTGTATCCTTTAGGTGATTGGCTAGAGTAGTAAGTAGCATATTTGCCGATGTATTCTGTTACTCTTCTTTAACTTAGGTGTTCGTATAGTTTCGACTTTAATATCAAGACATTCGTTCTACAAAAACAATAGTTCTACTTTTCAAATATTTACCGCGGTATGAACTAAATATTAACAAGTAAGAACGTCTAAGTTCGAGTGTAACAGAACATTTATACTCTCGTAAGGTAAAGTGATATACTTTGATCAATATACTTATTTATCGCTTGCACGGTCAGACGGACGGACAGACAGAGAGTCACCCGGATTTAAACTCATGCCGTTACTCTGACCATTTATGTAAAATATATATATATAACTCTATATGACTTCAATTAGTTCTTGGTGGATACAAGCAACCGATGAATAAACTATTATATATATAAATTTAATCTTAACAATGTCTCGAGTTGTTATTCAATGATTCGTATCGATCAACGACTTTATCCATCGATTTCAAGAGGCCTTCAAGGATATGGTGCGGAACGAAATTCGCACACCAAGCTTGTATTGGTGTACGGTCAACACATCTTCTCCGTACACATCATAAATTTCGCTTTACTTGAACTGCATTTTAAGCTTTTGATAGTAAATAGTAATTTTCGAAATGCTGTTTTCGATCTTCCATCTTCGATAGTGAACCAAACAAAACTAATCCAAAACATTTAAGAAAATTTTACAAACAAGCCTTACTATATCAGCACTTCAAATATATAAGAGTAAAGCGGTTAAGTGTGAGGTTGGTTGAGAAAAATTTAATAAGTTCAGCTGTCATCATCAAACGAAATTATTTGGTGAACGACCCAATACGTCCATATTGGTAAATGTAAACGCCAAAGGCGCTTCTATTTTTCTTCTAGAGGCTAAGTAGAGGTTTTCTATTATTTGCTGTGAGCGTCGTGGTTATTTTTAATACTTTGAAGTTGCTCCGAAATATATTCGGAGTTTTACTGATAAGTACGAGCGAGAGGCGGCTGGGCGGCGATATTTTTTGTTATGTTGATTAGAAGCTGTGATCGAATCCAGGATCGGTCTAATGGTAGAGGATGCCTGTAAATCCCAAATTACAAAACGCAGACCATAACGAATACAATTTTATATACACAGTTCTTCTTCAACTCGTTCGAGAAGAGTTCGTATTTATCTGTTTAATTGCGACGACCCTTATATTAGAACACCGTTTGTTAATATTGATCAAGGGTTCAGTATACATTTGTATAACAACACTTGACTGTAATCAGAATTGCCCGAATACAAGTAAATACGGCATTTCGTTTTGAGAACTCGTTTTTCGGATTATCTCAACAGTAGTGTTGTTGCGTCACGATGATTATGCACTTTATATCCAGAGTTAACTGTTGCCAATATTTAGATTTTCGTCGTTGGTATATTTAAAGAACCATGTTAGGCTTACGGGTTTAATGAAAAAATGTTCCTGTTATTTGAGAAAAAACACAATTTGAAGCTGTGCATGCTTATTCACTTTCAATCGGTGTCTCAACATTTACATTTACATATTCAATCACATTTTCAATAAGCTTTAACACTTTCTTAATTCAAACCAAATTAATACTTTGTTTCCATTATTCTCGATAATTTATTTTCTCAGTGCCCAGGCATCCCAATCCTCATAAACGGTACTCGGTTTCCAACCGGAGCTCCAGCCGCCATAACCACTCTTCAAGCTAGGCGAGCTCCAGCCATCGTACAAACCGGCGTAAGATGATGTATACACGGGTCCATATGAGACAGGCGGCCAGGCGACGCTTGTGCTGGGTGCATAAGTTTTAATTACAGGTGAATACGCCTTTACAACGGGCGTGTAGGTCTTAAATATCGGCGTATGCTCCACTATGGGACGAAGGTAGGGACGCTTCTTATAATGGTTTGACTCTGATGTGAAACTGCGGCGGGCAGTGAGTGCACCGTATGCCCGACCACAGTGGGCGTATACTCGACAGCTCGCTACTGCTGGTAATACTTGAGGCTAGGGCGCGCCTGGATCGCGGCGATTGAAAGGACGAAGGCAAGTAGCAGCGGCTAATAGCGAAAATTAAAAGTGTTTAGCGTGAATTGAAATATTTCATTAACCGTATTTTCAAAACTTACTAAGTTACACATATTGCAATTCTGTAATTAAGGTACTTTCTGGAATGATGTCAATGCGGTAGCTGCCAGAAAACTATGCCAAACTTGGAAATTGAATTCTATTTATATCACAACCAGCATAGTTAAATTTAATTCCGTGAAGTATTTTTTTACACTTTGTAGTTTTTGTAGAGTTTTGAGATGGTTTCTCATGCAGCACTGAATATCCCAAACACAATGGAACCATAATTTAAGAAAATGCGTAAAGTAAACCAAAAATACGTGGAAGAGCGCCAAGACGCCGAAGTGCACTGAAGGGGAACGACTCCATGCCAACTCCACAATTTAGTGGCGTAGTTGTAGGTCAGCAGCATATACTGACAAGTTAACAAATTATTTGCCGTAAAACAAACGCTTACAAGCTTTTGCACTGAGGCGATGCGGCCGACAGTGACCACTTAACACTTCGAGGCGGAAAACTCGTAACTGAGCAACCTTCTGTCAAATTTGTAGCAACGTTAATTTGAATTATTATTACTTTGTTTAAAATAGTATTGTTGCCATATTAAAAAAAAATGTATTTGCGAATTGTGGTATTAAAAGGTAATTTTTATTATTTAGAATGAGTTAGTCGTTGCCGCGAAGAGCTAGCATACTTGCAAATCATCGGTTACACTAATTTAAAATAATTTATTAATAGGTATTACATAAAGGATTAGAAAGGAGTTATTGTACAAACGAAATGGAGGAGTTTCATCAATTGTATTCTATACTGAATTTTCAGATATATGTACATATATGCAAGGATTAAAATTCTTTCATACCCCAAACAGTGTATATTTATATTAAGTTTGCCACGATGTTTGTAAACCAAAGGGGAAACTTGGGGTACTGTTCATAATAAGTATATAAATGAATCGATTATTGTTCAAGGTAGTAGTGCTTCAATTTCCCGAAAATTATACAGATCGGATATTAAAGCATATAGGCTATTCAAGCTTCGGTACCAACGAAGTTCACGTATTTTCTTGTTCAGCTTTTATTCAATTTAAAAAACGTAAACTTGTGTGAATAGAGAAAATGTTAATAGTATTGTAAATTTATGATTGGTCTTGATAACTATTTGATTTGTTTTTGTTTTTTTTGGTTTTTGCTTTAGTCCATTTTGTATATTTTATGTAATTTGTTCTCTTTAAAGTTCTACTCGTAAAATTTATTTGTTTTATTAATAATAAAAATTCATTGTGGTTCTGTATTTAGCACTAAATGTTCTTATTAGACCTTTTGTCTTCTAGACATGATCGTTTATACTCGTACACATATACATATGTAAATATAGATATAAAAAATATTAATAATAATATCTAGATTAAAGAACTTTTGATGCTTGAAGTTAATTAAAGCTTGATTAATGACGTTGATTTTATATGAAGTCACAGCCTTGAACTTAAAGAACCTCTTAAAAACAATTTTAAGGTAGTAGCTTTCAACAATTCACAGAAATTATTTTATGTGTTACGAAACAATTCGCTCACACTGTATGTCTATATATAAACACATATGTGTCTATTTTGGTAATGTTCGCACGGCATCATTGAACTCCAAAAGCGTATAAATCACTTTTCATTCTTCCTTATTTTCCTTGTTGTAACAATTTCCAGCAAGATATTTTCACACTCTTCGCTCAGCTGTTTAGCTGATACTCGTTTAACTTTGATGTTTTCGTGTGAATAAATCAAGCAGATTTGGTAATAGAGCGCAATTCATGAAAAGAATTAGCATAAGAGATGTTTTAGGCAAAAACCCATTGCTAAGATTCCTAAACATATGTATGTATGTAAATACAAATCTCTTGGCGCACAGGTATCACTTAATGTGAAGATATGAATAGCAATGCATGCAAGCATTAGGGTCAGTCTGTTCGATTTTTTTGACAATTGAAGAAGTATTTTATTTCTTACTTTTCATTTATGGTACAAAAATAAATTGAAATAAATTAATTTATGAAATGTCTACTTACATATATATAGCTTCTACCATAAGTGGACTTCTCATTGTCTTACAAATAAAAATAATGTGTCTTAACAGATTAGACCAGTCGAAAATTTTCCCAAAAAAAGACTATGGTTTGTCTTAGTGTACACTTATGTGTTTCAAATCATGACTCAATTATTAAAGAAAAAAATTTAAATCAAATATGCTTTAAACTACCAATATTTAGTAAATCCTAAATATATTTTATTTTAAAAAATTAACTGACATTTATTCGGTAAAATTCACATTGTTTTACAAGTCCGAAATTTTGCGGAAAATCGATGTAAAGCAAGTTTATATTGTGTGTCGGCAGATCTATCATAGACAGCTTCATAGCTGCTACTGCTTGATATAGAATACGGATCATACTTTTATGAATAAGCCGACATTTAATTTGATTGTGAATTTATCGAACTTTTCACATTTCTCATTATTTTGAGCTAGCTATTTGAATTTAATTTGAAATATATGAAAGTAATTGGTTTCTAACGGAAAACTATATATTATTAAAACGTTAACTTCGATTCACCAAAGCTAAAATACCCTTGACGCATAAACAAGTTTCCATGGTGAAAGTTTTTTTCGATCATTGTAGCGGTTGCTTTGGTCAATAATCTGTGCCAAATTACGGGAAAATATTTCGCCAAATAAAAAGTTTTCTTTACAAGAGCTTGATTTTATCGTTGGGTTGGTAAGACAACTATATGCTATAGTAGAATAATGCGACAAATGCGACGAGCTGCTTATTGGAAAGGCAAGGACGTTTGCGAAATCTCAGTTCGATATCTTAAAACTGAGAGACTTGCTCGCATATATACAAACGACAGCCGGACATGGTTAAAATGACATATATTTTATAGAGTTCCGATGTTTCTTTCTGAGTGTTACGAACTTCGTGACAAACTTAACATACCTGTTCAGGTATAAAAATACTGATGAGATACAATGCTTATTTATTGAGGGATAGCAAAGTAATTTTCTTTTTGTGAAGAAAATAAGAGTATAATAATTTTGGGTTTCAAATATTTTTAAGTAGCGCTTAGAAAAGGCAATTACCTGAAAACTTAACGAAGTGCTGTGAAGAACTAGCCAAACGTACTCTAAAATAAATTTTCAAAACTATGTACTTATCATATTTTCCTACCTTCTATCAATGGTCGAAGAAGCAGTTCTAAACAACGAAAGGTTTTATTTAGTACCACCCTAATGGCAATGATGACTATGCTTTAGTTAATTGCTGGGTTGGTTAAGCAGCTGTTTGTGTCGACTGAGCGTTTAGACCACTTCCTTCTAGCGATCCAATGTAATACAAATAACATTTATTTTTATTTATCTTATTTTATTTTTTTTTGCTATGCTAGCAAATCAACAAACCACAACAATTCAAAAACAAAAAGGTCTAAATTATATCATTAAGGAAACAACCTATCTGTATATTGAAAACCTCATAATTCACATTAATTAAATATAAATCATATCGAAGTACACATACATTGTATACATTTTAATTAAGTTATGTATAATCAGGGCTAATTTGATAACTAATTGCCGACTAATTTCTTACCTCTTCAGACACATTTACTAATTGTGTATGCATAGACTTCCTCTCACATCTTTATTTACTTGTGACTTCAACGTTAATTTAAACCATTACATTTACCGTTTTCTAAAAAAAATATATATTATATTACAATCACATACATACAAGTGTAAATCTTTTATGCTTTTGCACAGATCTTGGAAATATAATTAAAACCAGATTGCAGAACTATAAAAGTCAATTACGACGAAACTTTCATGTTGTCACATTGTAATTCAGAAAAACCGTTGTGTAAACGTTTGCAAGCATTACGAAAATAAAGACAAGGTACAGGTTGTTTGTGGAGAGGGTCAGGTGTCAGTGTCGGCTGTCTTTAGTCACACCAAATTAGCATTTCATTAACACCGTCACTTTGTCTGGCTATAAAACCCACAAGGTGGAGGAAAAGTTAATAATAGTTTGATGTAACTGTAATGTAATTATGCACTAAGCCATAACTGTGATTATTGTTTGATCAAATTTTCGTATTTTTTTCTTGCATATCGTCCATCTGCTATTCAGTTGTAAGTATCGGGTGATTTATTCACAGAAATTAAGTACTTATAATACTCTTAATATACCTATATATTAAGATATTGGTTTCAGTTAATAATACTGTTGCAGATTTACATTTGTGTTCAAGAAAGAAAGTGCTCAAAAATATTTCTTTTTTCCTGTGAAATTAAGCGCGCAATATTCGAAATTTCGGGTTTACGGTATATATCAAGCTCAAAGGGGAGAAGAGTTTTTCTGTGTTTTAAATTAGTATGTCGGTTTAAGTCTAGACTTTAGAATGTATGTGGTCTCTAATATATATGGGAAATAGAAGTGGTTGTAATCCGATTCGCCCATTTTCGCACTATAACATGGAAATATGGGGTTTCACCTAAAAGTAGGGCGTGCCACGCCCACTGTCTTTATTTGGAACGCGGTTCGTATAAAGTCATCTCATACCATCCGCCAGAGATAAAATTTAATGTCTCTGGCGTGTTTAGTGATTGATTTACTGCGCTATTTATTTAAATTTTAATACAGATGCCTTTCCTAATTTGATCCTGTATACAAATTACAGTTTGTATCTTATTGTGGTGCTTAGTTATGACAATTTATTTGTTTTGATTAATGGCGTTTGTGGGCGTGAAGTGGTTCGATTACGCGCCTCTGCAATACCAACCGTCTTACGGTACCAAGAAATATGTGTACCAAGTTTCATAAGACATCTCAATTTTTACTTAAGTTACAGCTTGCATAGACGGACGGACAGACAGTCACCCGAATTTTAACTCGTACTTCATTTTTGATCATTTATATATGTATAACACGGTTAGGAAACATCGCAGCTCTAAAAATATATATTAAATGATCAAGAGGGCGAACTGAGTCGATTTAGCCATGCCCGTATGTGATCGAACTAGTCCCTCTGTTTTAACAGATATCGCTCTGAAATTCGCACGCATCTTCTCTCTCAAGAAGCTGCTCATTTGTCGAAGCCACATATAGCGGATCACTTTAGTATATAAACCGCCATTCAAACCGACCCATCAATATCAAAGTTCTTGTATGGAAAGCTTTTATTTCGGAAAGGAATTTTAGCTTCGGTGCAACCGAAGTTAATTATGTTTTTTGTTAATTATTAATTAGCACACATCAATATGTTAAACTGCTATTTCAAGTAACCACTTCGGTTTTAATATTTCTTTAGCTTTTGTGTTATATTTTATAATGTGGCAACTTTTTCCTTGGTTTAAGACAATGCGAAAATATCAAAACAGAATATATCAAGATTTATTGGTCAACACAATACGGACCTGACAATGATATACACGCATATTAGAAATTAAAGTTTATTTAACTAAGATGTTTAATTAATAAGAAATTATTAATGACAAGCTATAAGGAATTTATATAATTTATATCCCAGTATGTAAAAGAGTCTTTCAAGCAACAAATTAATTTCCTCTTAGTTCTTAGAAATCGGTAAACAGAAAATTACCAATACTTCAAAGAACCTATCAATACCTAAGTCAGCTAAGCTTAGTGAGTTTTGATTATTTAGAAAAACATAGTCATTCGATACATTTTGCTGTGTATGATGTTTACAACAGAGCTTTGAGATTTACAACTTTATCACCTCAAATCAAAAATAAAATTTTGAAAATCGTTTTTCGAATTTTTCCAAACGACTTGACCGATCTACACAAAAACTAATCAGTTCTAAACCTTGAAGAAACACATCGTTTGCCGCAAACCGGGTCGAAATCGGTTGCTTTACTGCTAGATATCGAAAACGAAAAATTTCGAAGAGCTCCAAAGCTGAAAAAAGCGAAATTTGAACGTTAGCGTATGAAATTAGAGGGAAGTTGCAGGGATGGCCTTGAGGCCATACCGTTTTCCACATTTTTCTATATCTCGCGGTGAATGAGCAAATCACGGCTGATTTTAAATTTTTTATATAACCTAATTTTAAATCTCTAAAACTTCCCAGTATGGTTTTATACTTAGCTATTACTTTCCAAATTTGTAGCATTTTGATAGAATACCAATACTGTACAAAATAATTTAGGAGACACAAAAATATGTATGCATGTACAATACATATGAGAATACAAATTTCTTGGAAAGCTAAGCGAATTCTGCGAGAGCTTTAAGGTGGCGAGTTTTGTGTATATAGCCGGTCAACGAGGTTTACACTTTGAAATTCATACAACCGTTTTGGAGTTTCTTTCTTGCAGTTTCTTCCGTACAGTGTAGGTACTTCATGCTGATAAATATATTTACGTAGTATGAATGTGCGAGTATGGACTAAGAGCACAACGCTAGACTGTGCTTGTTAAACAATAAGTCTTTCTTTTCTTGTAAGAAACCTAACTTTTCAAATCCAAAATTATTAAAGATATTTAAGCGCAAGTAAGTAAAAACAAAAAACTTACATGAGTTTAACAAAACAAATACTATGATATCGGTTCGTAATGTATAGTTATATTTTCCATTGAGCAAATGTATCGTTTAGAAATGTCACACATTAAATATGCAAAATAATATAAAGAATAACTGTTCCCCACTTCCATATACCCAATGAAAACGTTCCACGTGACAACCACGTTTTCTTAACTGTCAGATGTTCAGACAAATGTGTGCAGCTACTTTTACCAAAGATTTAGAAATATTTTGCAATTTATTTAAAATTTGCAAACTTCTCAAGTGTTAAGAAACCGTTGGACTATAATATGAGATACAACATACAATGTAGATATGTACAGCCAACGCCTCTGCACAACACAACGTAAACTGTTGAGCCATTGGTATCTAATTTTTGACTTAGTCAACTTAATTTCTTTCTTCATACCGCTTTCTGCAATGTGAGCAATTTGTATTGTATGAGATCATAAAATCAAGTCAAAGCTATTAAAATACACCAATTAGCACTAAAGCGTTTAGTGTTGATTTTTATGCTCATATATATTACACTAAAGTATACATTTAGGGCGCAGCACGTTTACCAAGATGAGTAGTGAGTGTCGTAAGCCAAAGGCGCAGCATAACTGTGCACAACTGGAGCCGCGCCATATGATTTGAAGACAGGGGCAGCGGCGGCATATGAGGTATGCACCAGAGGAGCAGAGTGGATGGTCTTCAAGACAGGAGCTGAGACATAGCTGGTCTTCACAACTGGTGCCACCACATCCTCGATAACATGAGCTGAGCTATGCACAATCGACTGGCTTTGATGGGAGACAGCGGTGGGAATGCTCTTCACAACGGAGCCAACTTTAGCCAAGACGGGTTCTTGGTATGCAACAGCTGCTGGAGCCGAGTACACAACTGGGCTTTCATATAAGTGGCTTGGGGCAGCGGCGGCAACGGCGACGAGGGCAGCAAG